CGACCAACATTTATGAGATATAGCTTTGTGGAACCACAATCAAAAATATGGTTGCCAGTCAGCCATTTTTGATTTGGTGGTGACAAAAAACCAGTGTATTTGTCCAATATGATGTTTGACGTATGTGTGAAGTTCTGGTATATTGAACTAAGAATATTAAAAAAATGACCGCCATTTTAAACCCAGTCTGAGAAATAAAATTAAGCACATCATAGTTCAATCATATTCAATGTATGTACCAAGTTTGGGCATAGTTTGTTCATGTACGACTGAGAATCGGTTTGGAATGGTTAGGATGTGTGATTTTGATATATTTTTAGCTTTAAAATGGCTGTCATTCGGCCATTATTGAATTAGATCATGGAACAAATGCATGTGCAGATGTCAAATATAATGTATGTGTGAAGTTTAAACTTGTTTGGTCCATGCATGTGAAACAAAATGGCCACCAGTTTGCCATTTTGAACAAGATAAGAAAAACAAAACGCTGTGCATCAAGGTCCCATTGTGTTCAATGTATGTACCAAATCTGTCCACACACTACTGAGATTCTGTTCTCAGAAAAAATGGTAAAAATGTGTTATTTTGATGCATTTTTGGCATTAAATGGCTTTCATTTGGACATCTTGCATTGTATCATGAAATAAAATACATGTGTATATGTCCTATGTAATGTCTTATGTATGTGTGAAGTGAAACTTGATTGTTTGTATAGTTGTATGCATGTGTGAGATATGGCTAAATATGGATGGACACATCGTTTTCGAACTTTGTCCAACTAGGAACTAAAAATCTGTTTGACTTGCATTGTTTAAACTGACAAGTGCTTGCTGACCAGAAACATGAATATTTGTTTCTGGGTCTTATCGATAATACAACACCTCCACACCACCTTCAATAGTACCCATATGTGTAGCTTTTGACTCATAATGTGCAAAGTAAACTCCACATTTTGTCAAACAATTTATTGGAGCAAATAAATTTCATCTCATTCTCCTACAAACAAATGGATATTAACATCATTATATAAATTTAACATGCACAAAGGATAAATATTATTAAGCATGTAGGGATATTTAACATGCACAAAGGATAAATATTATTAAGCATGTAGGGATATTTAACATGCACAAAGGATAAATATTATTAAGCATGTAGGGATATTTAACATGCACAAAGGATAAATATTATTAAGCATGTAGGGATATTTAACATGCACAAAGGATAAATATTATTAAGCATGTAGGGATATTTAACATGCACAAAGGCTAAATATTATTAAGCATGTAGGGATATTTAACATGCACAAAAGATAAATATTATTAAGCATGTAGGGATATTTAACATGCACAAAAGATAAATATTATTAAGCATGTAGGGATATTTAACATGCACAAAGGATAAATATTATTAAGCAAGTAGGGATATTTAACATGCACAAAGGATAAATATTATTAAGCATGTAGGGATATTTAACATGCACAAAGGATAAATATTATTAAGCATGTAGGGTATTTAACATGCACAAGGGATAAATATTATTAAGCATGTAGGGATATTTAACATGCACAAAAGATAAATATTATTAAGCATGTAGGGATATTTAACATGCACAAAGGATAAATATTATTAAGCATATAGGGATATTTAAAAATTTGACGAGATTCAACCTTGATCTGAGTAAATTACAGCTCACAGTAATTTATTAAAAATTAGCATTTCTTTGTGATTTCACAATTTTATAAACCAAGGTAGACTGACAACGGGAAGCATTGAAGACTGGCTTGTCTAACAAATACGCTCCCCTTATGCAGTAATAAATTACTAACTCAATGATATCAGTAAACGGTTTCATCTTTACTAGAATCCCGTTCACAGTAATACAGACTACACAGCTCCAGAAAACACACAGAGCATGTGACACAAAGTACTTCACATGTTTACCCCAGTGCATGTTGGGAGTTTACAACACTGCATGCTGGGAGTTTACCGTACTGCAAGTTAACACCCTGATTTGATAATTTATTTTATTACCTTCTGAGATTGCAAAAAGGGCAGCGCTAGCTAATGTTACTGCTATGTCCCCTCAACTTTCACAAATAAAATTCAAATAAAAATATGACTAGGGAATACCAATGTTTGGACTTGCTGAATTTTAACATTTAACCCATAATTTATACATATTCATAACTTTGGCAAATAGCCTAAAAGTATTATATTTTAATAATCTGCTGGTGATTACCTTAAGATAACCATCAGGATCCCAGATCACAAAGTCTGCATCCATCCCGACTTTAATCTCTCCTTTCCTATCTGATAATCCACATAACTTTGCCGTCTGCACACACATCAGTCGGTGCAAGTCCTGGATTGTGAGATCATGTCTCTGAGCGTTGGTCCAGAATAAAGACAAACCTACAAAGACATGCAAACAAATTATTGGTACAGCAAAGATCATTACTGTAAAATCTGTATTAGAATTCGCAGCTTCTACTAAGATGGTACATAGCAACAGAGTGGTGCAGCGTCTATTACAGCATCTACACATATGAGAAATGATGAATTTTTGGTTCTCAAAAAAATAGGTGCAACTTCTATTAAGGAATCAGGGTCTAATACAGATTTTATGGTACACTTCACTTCACTGCCATATTTAGTCAATCGATCTTGTGATTTAGTGATCAATCGCAGCTAAATTGGCTTCAATAATTGAATCTATTCGAACACAACTTCGTCCCCTTTTTGGTGTTAAAACCTCAGATATGATTTAAACTCTTTATCTATAACTGATCATGATTGTTCCACAACTACTACATGATATAGACTGATTCATGTTATTAAATATCAGCTTTGAAGCTTAAAGACATGCTAGAATTTTGCTGAATGCAAAAAGAATTTTTAGGAAAACTTATTGTAATATACATATTCTGAAATACAAATGAAAATGGTACATAAATTGTGGAAATATAGTAGTAAGGCCAAAAAGTCAGATGGCTGTCAATATACATTTTACCTTCAACGTTAAGATGAATATAGTTCTATGGCAAATTATGACAAATTATTGGTAGTAAAATCAATCCATTACTAACTTCCAGTGAATATAAAATTACAAAATACTTTCTAGTATACATTATAATGTATTACTGTAATCTGATTTTTTTGTACACATGTCCTTTATTAATCATTATTATACATCTTTCACCGTATCGCCTATAAGTTACAGCCTGCCATAATTTTGTGATATTTTATGGGGTATTTTCATCCTACCATATAAGAAAATGCGAATTCCAAATATGGAATGATTACGCGCGTTAGCGTCCTCTAATAATAAAACAAACATGGCTGCCACCAGGGTCTGACTGCATTCAACACAAAGACGTTCGCTGATTCTGTTCTAACCATTTTGAATTTCGGCATTCCCATGGTGTATCCTTGGAAGGAAAAGATGTATAATAATAAGGTTATTAAGAAGATACCTCAAGGTATGCACTCAGACAGTACACCGTGCATCGATCGATACTACAGCTGTACTGTCTTCATGCATACTCCGAGGTATCCTCGTAATAACCACATAATATAACATACAAACATGTTAAGACAATTTTTCAATCTATTATAATAATATCATGGTTGTAACTTATTGAAACTTTTTTCAAGAAAATATGCAATAATAGTAATATTAAAACAAATTGTCTTGCATTCAAATTCACAAAATACTCCTGTCTATAGTCTGCCCTTCCTCCAGATGATTTGGACAAAAATGGTTTGTTGGCTCCAAAATTGGAGTCCATTTCCAGAAATATTAGAGAATATAAGAAAAAAGTGCAGAAAAATTTAGGCGAGAAAGTCTGGTGGCAAAAAGGTTAATATAATAAAGAATATACTGTAGAATACTTTATTTTCGCTTGGAATTAATTTTCACTATTTTCGCTGAAGGAATGTTTCAGTGAAAATAAAATCCAGCAAATATACCTTTTTTCCTATATTCCTATATTCATCATAATTTCAGTGAAAACACATAAAAACTGTTTTCCGAGAAAATTAATTCCAGTTAAAATAAAGTATTTTACAGTATTGTACAAAAAATCAGAGTAATACATTCACTGGAAGTTGAGTAGAGGTCAAAAGATTGATTTCATTCACTTTTATTTCTTGTAGGATAATATGGATTCACACATGCTGAGATTCACACATGCTGAGATAAATATCAAATACAGAGTCATACAGATTTGGTTACAATCTATCATAATATGTATATACCCATAAATTCAGTTAAACATTCTGCTGAATAAACAAGCTTAAAATACATTCTTATCGAGCAAGCGGTAGTTATATCAATTGCTATGATGAAGGAATGTTTTACTCACCAAACTGTAAAGATGAAATGCCACCCCAGGCTTCCATGAAATCTCCTTTCTCCAAAACTTTCAAATTAGCGGTGCACGGGGAATGATCTGAAACTATCATGTTGATATCACCAGTTTTAAGAGCATCCCACAGTTTATCCTGCAGAAGAAAAATACAGAATTATTATTGCATTATTACTTTATCTAAATAAATAATGAAATAATGGAAAATGCCCCAAAATAAGATAAGACTTTTTAGAAAAAGGTCGTTCACTTTATATACAAGTTGACCATTCAAAATATTGGGCGTTGTTTTTCAGACGAAGATTATTTTTACTAAAATTCTCATTATTTTAAAGTGTTTTTTTTGAGTGAAAATATAGGTAATAATAATAAAGGGTAACTCGTTTTAAACGTGGTCATCCAGGACAACTGGATAATCAATAATATCGAGCAAGGTGTATGAAATAAAACT